AGGGGGGAGGCTGGGAAGGGATGTGAAGGGTAAATAAAAGGAGGAGGCTGCAATGCTTGGTAAGAAATGTACGCATTATCCTGCCCATGTAATTGTAACCCCTCTGTACAGTATCTTCACAAATAAAATATAAAAAAAAAAGAAAATAAAAAAAAATCAAACTGTCCCTTTTTTTATGAGCAGTCCTACCAGTTACCAAATGTTTAGAATAAAAAGCTATTTCTACAATCCTAAATTCCTTGTTTAAAAATTGGCCATCTTAACAGCCTACTTTTATATTTGCTTGCTTATTTTGATTATTTCATGTTTGCTGAAAATTATAGCCAAATTTATTTTGCATCTTTTTTTAATGTTTTATTATGAAAATACTGTACAGAGGGGTTACAATTACATGGACAAGGTAATAAGTACATTTCTTATCAAGCATTGTTGCCTCCTCCTTTGTTTCCTCTTCCCATCCCTTCCCAACCTCTCCTCCCTCCCCTTCCCTCCCCCCCAGCCTGGCCAAAGTTGTAAAATTTGTTTTTCGACATAAGGACTTGTACATCTCATTGTTGCAATGGGTCCACCTATATCCCTATTTAAAAGGTTTGTTTTTGCCCTTCCCCTCCACAAATTATACCAACATCAATCATTTTTATATACATGGATTTGTTTTAATTTGATTTCTTAAAACATGTAGACACAAAATGAAGGTTATGAAGGAAAATGTTTATTCTCACAAGTCTGTGGAAACAGGCCACACAGTGAGTCTTCAGGGTTGGTCAAGATGCAGAGGAAACAAAATGTGGGCAACAACCTTCATAGGACTTGTCCATAGGACAAGTAAGGCAAAACAGGGTCAGCAGATTTAAGGATTGCTGGTATGAATGATTTCCATGGGCTTTGGAGAATTGGGGCTCTGTCTAGAAGCCGGGGACATGGCCCTGGAGTGATTAGGGCAGGAAGGAATTGATTTGATAAAGATTAGAGCCAGTTAAAGGTTGAAGTGTAGAGGGTAGGCTTTGGATTGGTTCATTTACATATGAAAAGCATGGTCCCTGGTGAGGTGTTTGCTGTCTCTAGGAATTAACTAAACCTGGAAGGGTAGTCCCTCTCAGATTCGCTAGGCTCCAGATGCCAATGCATTAAAAGTACAGGAAAAAAAATTACAGTTAATACATGAATATGGTTAGTTGAGGCAGTAATTTGGGGCTGTGACAGTTATGACACAACAGTTCAGTCTTATGTTCTTGTTGAGCTCATCATTTATTTAACAGGTAAGCTTTTGATCTAGAAATACTGATTTAGATGCTTTGAGAAATAAA